AAAGAGGAGTCATAACTCCTTGTAAAAGGTAAGACACCACTCCTCTGTACCGTCCTCCAGATCCTCTGTACAGGTACACACTGTTCCTTGGCAAATGAATACTTTTTGTTGCAAAGCTGACATTTACAGTGGTCCTAGCAACTCCTTGCTGCTCAGAAGTGCTCGCAGATCCCTTTGTGCTGCAAGAACACTTGGATGCATTCCTCCCCATCAAACAAAAATAAACTGCCCAGGCTTGGCAGGCACACCATGGTGTCCTTGTGGAAGGAATGATTAGCCATTCCCAGAAAAGCTCAGTGAAGAACATAACTTTGCCCTTCTTTTGTAAGATGGGTTGGCACAGGTTCCTCCCGTTTTCACTGGCACAGGCTGTGGTTAACCAAATCAAGCCCCTTGCTGGCATCAGTCCAGTCACAACTGCTGAATCATCACATCTAGCAGAGCCTTGGCTCAGATATGCCAAATATTTGCCTTTTGCCTCTTCCCATCTCAGGATTTTTTGAGATACAGGAAGAAGGAGCAGCCCAAAATATTTGCAGCAAAGCCGCAAAACCACCTGTCCCTGGAAGGCCTGATGTACTGGATCAGTTACTAGGTAAGAGCACCACATCCCCACTAAAGCAGAAAGCACAGAAGAGCCATTTTGGTGACCAGGCTCTGTTATCTCCTACTGACCCCTCTGATGAACAGCATCTGAGCTTCCAGACCCCATAACACAGGGATGCTTCCCCATGAAGGGCAGATACTGCTCAAGTTACAAAAAAACCCCTAAACATTTTAAAAGGAGTCCACTGAGATAAATACAAGCTAAAGGTGTCTAGGACAGTCTACCAGCACTCAGAGTAGCACAAAAAAGCACAACCATACTTCTGCCCTACAGACAGAAATAAAACAATGTTTTAATTTTTTCCTGCACCTTTAGATTCCTCTCCCTCTTGTATTTGGGGAGTCCTTTTAAAACTTATTTGTGAAGGGTTAATATTTTCTCTACTTTTCTGAAGTTAGATTCTTGCAAGAGGTCCAAAAAGAACAGACTTTAGAAACTCAAAGTGGCATCTGCAATTTCTGTCAAGAGGCCCAAATACCTCCAGAGATTGGTTAGGAACACATCACATGTCAACAGATTTACAGCTCAGATTGGGAACAGAAAGGTTGCAATGAGCACGGCATCAACTTCACTGAGGAAGTCAGTGTACAAACGACAGCTCTATGCACTAGATAGTACCATATCTAGGGAGAAAAAGAAAACTTCAAACAGCAAATAAATAATAGTCCATACCAAGCCCTCAATTTTGTTATGCATTTGTAAGAGGAAAATTATCCTTAAGTACTTGGAATAGTCAGTCACACCTAATACAGAAGTGTGCTGTGTTTTCTTAGCATAAATAGTAGACTGGAGTGGAAAAAAAAAAAAAAGGTCTGATCACAAAAGTAGGGAAGGGCAGAGATAAGAGCAAAATAAAAAAAAAAAAATCATTGGTACAAAGGGGTGACAAGAACATGCAAGCACAGAGAAAGACTATTGTACTCCTGGTAAAACATTAAGACACCAGACATTGCAAAGTTACAAATTTATTTGTTTTGAAATAAATACAAATACTTCATTAAGAAACTTTTCTTGATAGACTTTACACAATAGCTTTATTCTTTCTGGAAATTGTCTGTTCTTCCCACAAACTGTTATGGATATTCTACACAAGAGCTGAAGTTAGTCAATATGAAGTAACTTAGATGGTGTTCTTCTGAACAAGCAATCTCAAAGTATTAACATTTGCTATTTAACTGCTCGGCATTTGAGTTTTCTTGTTTGTGTGAGGACTGCAATGCAGCGGGGATGCACTGGAGCTCGGGAAACCCTGTTCCACTACCTATGGAAGGACAAGCTTAAGAACACCCAACTGTGAAAATCTGACTGGCAGAAAGGTATCAAGCCACTAGCATCAAAGAAAGTAACCCAAGGTACCAGCAGGCTACATAGAGATGCAGAACCAGCAGATCATTACATTTATGCAGTCATTAAACACTGTATTTCACAGTGTTGCTGCTCCACCACTTCGTGGAATACACTTCTCAGCACCAGTGAGATCTCATCAGAGTTTCAAATCTAGTAATTAGTGGCAGTTGAATGTACAGTATCCAATTACATGCCATCCCACAGTTATTAATCTCTCCTGACAAAGAACAGCTGGATCTGGCTTTGCTTACAGAATTCTGAATTTATCACAATTGTGCTGGACACAAAAACTTGAGCTGCAAAGATAAGCTGTCTGAAGGAAAAAATCAAGCTCTTTCTGCTTTGCTGGCATGTACGGCTACCCTACTTGTTACAACTACACCAACTTTTTGCAGTATGGTAAGCCCTTTGGCCCAAGATCCCAAAGAGAAAATGCTACCTTGCTTATAAATTTAAATCCTGTCCTCATTTGTCTAAGTAGGTTTTAGGGTCTAGGAGGGTGGAAGGAAAGGAAGACTGGAACTAAATCTCAAAAAAGTGAAATAAAAAAGCTTAAAGATTTAGTTCATCTCAAAGTCACATTAAAATCGCCTATTTTAGTAGTATATTATTATACATAGGAAAACAGGCTTGAATACTAATGAATTAGAAGGCCTATAAATGCACGATACATTAACTTCTCTATCATTTGAAGTCAAGCTATATACAATGAATCTGACTCCAGCTTCAACATGAGGCCATAACACATTTGTTTCCTTCTTTACAAGCCATCCATAATAGTGATTTTTTTCTCCCCCTCTTTGAAACTCATCTCCAATTGTGCCAGTTTACTTCAAGAGAATAAGAGATAAAGGGCCATGTAACAGCTTTGATTTTAAAAGCGGATATTAAGCAAGTCTGGTTTGACTCTGAAGTGTTTACAACCACATCAGCTTTTGGCAAGTATCCTTTAGAATTTGGCATCCATTGAAGGAGGGCACAATAGCAGCAACTGTCTCAGTTACAAGAATAACGATAGAGCAAATGAGATGCTTCTTTTCTTTGGTCCCTGTCAGACCCTGGTGAACAGAGTTCATCCTACAGAATAGCTTGAGATTAATACCAGTTATGTTTTTGTGATACACAGGGGGCATCCATTACTTTTTCACACTGCGACCAGTTTACACCTCCCACAGCCATCTAACAGGACACTTCCATGGACTTGGGGCCCGATTGTTCAGTGTTGGTCGCTGAGTTTGGCGTCAGCTCAATGCGCGTGTCTGTATGGGAGCGGTTCCTGGCACCGTCCCCGGTGTGAGATCGGCTCCTTGTTCCCTCCCCCGTGTGAGACCGGCTCCTTGTGCCTTCCCCGGTGTGAGACCGGCTTCTCTGTCCTTCCAAAGAGGTTACGCTGGAGCCAGAAGCGGTGCGGGACCTCATCAGCCTGGTCATGCTAGCAGAAGGGACTGAAAGAAGAGTCTTTCATTAATGCCTTGCTTCATGGGCTTGGAAGGAAGCCCTTGCCTTCCTCTCCAGCCCCAGCCACCCTTGGAGAAGCCTTCGAGGCTGAATATATAGTTGTCATGGTAGCTTCATGTGCAGAAGTGTCACTGCTCTGGGTATACAGTTAAGGACCCCAAATTGGTGGCCAGGGTCAAGGGATTCAAGATAGAGTTCTACGGTATGTCGCTCTGGCAGCAAACCAGAGGAAAACTAAAGAGACTCTCTAGACCTCCTGTTACTTTCAGGTGTTTAACCTTTGCTGCTAGCCCAGGCTAGCAACACATCTACACAACCGCAGTTGTCAGAAGCACATAAATGAAGGACAAACAGCTACAAGTCAAAGTAGTCTCTGAATTAGTGGGGTTTTAAATGTTGTGAGCAGCATGTCAATTATCTCCTGTGATGCAACGAAGGGACACTACTACAAATATCCCCCTTAAAAATATCAAGATAAAGTAGAGCAGGTATTTGTGGGTATAGGTTGTCTACAAAGCTCTCTTACTATTTAGTAACATAATTTGGTCAGAAAACCCTTCACCCAGACACCACAGGTGGTTTTTTCTTTCCCTTGCAAATGCATATCCAACAGGGAAAAGATCACACATCCGGGATCATAAGGCTCTCTGGGTGCTTAGATGGCCAACAAACTCTGGTAACCAGATGAACCATTCCATAAAGCCAATACTTACTGTATCCCATTCCCTGAACAAAGTATTTGAAAGCTTCTGCAAGCTTGGCAGGCTGCAAAAGAAAGGGAGTATTATTGTATGCAGTGGTCAGCAAGTTAGTTACATTCCAATGTTATTAATGCCATAGATGCCCTATCTTAACAGGGACATCTTAAATATTCTCTGGGTCCTACTGAATATCTTAAAATGTAATTTACATGAGAAAATGCCACCATTCCCCTCCTTAGGCTGCTCCCCTGCCCCATTATTTTAGCAAATGGACATATGCATTTGAGAATGAGATTTACAGAGAAGGGACTACAAGCGGTCTAAGCCTGGCTCGGTCTTTGCTATTACTGAGGCAGGTCAGCCAAAGTGAAACAACTGGCCTCACAAAATATAAAAGGCAGTTCACACAGGGTGGGTAATTGAGCAATTCCTAATCAGCAGAGAACAAATTCAGCTAGTCAGAGCTGATAGTTATGTTTATAAGGCAAAAAAGCTCAGCAGGACCACATAAGCACAACTATCTATGACTGCCATTCTTGCAATGAGGCACAAACTATTTTTTCGTTGCTGTTGCCACAGTGGCCAAATAAATCTCACAATCTTAATTACCGTGCATATATTGCCAATATTGGCTATATTTTTTATATAATTCTATCTGAATCAGTGCAAAGAATGCACTCTGTGTAACAGAAGCAATGCACATACTCCTGTGTGGCTTTAAATAAGCCTTTTCCCCCCTTCCACCGTCAGAGCACACCACGGCCTGTACAGGGACTTCTCAGCTGCAGGTAATTAGAAAATTTGCTTTTTTCCATAAGATTGTGAATACCACATTATATTGCTTAGAAATCTGTTTAGAAAATACCTCTTTCTAAAGCTGATTTGCAGGTCAGCTCTTTTAGTGAAGTAACACTAGAGCATAGGTAAATTTTAACTTTCCCAGCCTGGTTTTATGAGTAGCCTTGGAATTTATGTCTAAATATATTTCAGAAACTCCAGTTCATTCTCAGTCAAGCCAGGTCAGTGTATGCAAGAACATAGCGTTGTTATTTCCTGCCTCCCACTTTCCTGATCTATACTATAAATAGTCCAAATAAGAATATGTTTTTAAAACACTGGTGTTCAAGCCTTAATCCATGTCAGTTTAGTAGATAGGCATAAAATAATGCCTCTGCATTCTCACCTCAGACCTTTAATTCGTTAAGACCTAATTAATGAAAATAATATCCCCCCTCAATCTTAATTTTGCGCTTCATTGGACTTTAAAGAAAAAAGAAAGCTCAGATGGCTGACTGACGACATTATTTGTGAAATCATAACCATCCTTTTGGCTGACATTTGGGAACAGCAAGTACCCTACAGGAAAACACCCATTTGTTGCAGTTTGACATGCTGCAGAACAGGATTAGTAGGATTTCCGTCAGCCAAATCCTACCTGGGAAACTTGAGGGAGCCCACCGCAGTCAGCCATCTGAAACGGGGATGAGAACAGCCAGTTAGTGTAATGCCAGAGGAACTCATTTATGCTCAGGATATATTAAAATGACCTTTTTATACTCTGTCAGGAAAACATTTCCTTTTGTTGTGTGAGTAACATACATGTAGATGAACGCACCAAAGCAAGCAGTTAAATGTTTATGAAAGCTGTGACTGCACCCCAGAAAACCCCAAGTGTCTTGACCCTCAGCAAATCATCAGCTGGAGCTACAAATAAATGTTTTTTGCTAGGCAGTGGTTACCACTTTCTTAGAAACTACCCTCTTAGCCCTGGTTACAAGTTCAGCTCTGAATTACAATAACGTGACTCAGTATTGACCTGAATGACAAACAGGGGAGAGAGAACAAACACCTGAACCTCAGAGGTGAGACGGGAAAATAATTTGCTGAGATTGCGGATGGCAAGCATCAGCCCGACTTGCCAAGGGAAGCAGGGAAAGCCAAATTAGAAGAGCTATCTTGAGTGCATGCAATATTTTTGGAGCACTTCAGTTTTCCTGCCACTCCACCCCTCAAAGCGAACCCAACAAAAACAGTCCTGTTCCAAGGAACACCACAAGCTGAAAACAGTGGAGCTGTGAATTACAGGAAACCCCAAATCCTATCTAGAATTAGTTAGCAGCAAAACAGGCCTGTAGCAGGATCTGGCACCAATTGTATCCCTGGACTGAGCAAAGCCTGGCCACTGATAAAGGATTTGAGATAGCGTCAGATTTTTTCTTAGGGTGATTCTGCCATCTCTATGTGGTAGGTCAGCAGTGTAACTACTCAACATCAGGAGGAAAAAGCATTTTAAAAAATAATCATTTATTATTATTTTCACTGACCAGTTCAAGAAAGAGAGATGCAGTAAAAGTTCCCAGAAGAAGCGTGACCAAACCTGTTTCACTATTTGCATGCTATTACACTCACTGCATTATACTTCATCCAGAACAAGCTGAAGATTACACCTGTACTCTGAATGCCAAGCATCAGCAAAAGCCTCTGCATAATGCTTTGCTGTTTGGAAGCGCATTTTATCAACTTTTTGGAAAATATGAACATCATTTCCCACAGTAAGATGTCCTGGACTGTGTCCACATAAAAGGCACGTCCGCACAAAACCATGGCTGATAGATCAGCTGTCTGTTCATCTGACACTACTCTTAAAGGACAGGCAAGCACAGGAACTTGATGGCTTTTTCAAACTTTTAAAAATACCTTGACATCAACTTTGCCAGCTCTAGTCAAATTCATTATGGGTATGTGAAATACTGAACACTTCAAGCCTCACCCCTAGTATCTTAAAGTGGAGGAGCTGAGAAATTCCCTGTTGCAACCTTGACAAGACATCCCTAGTCTGGTTTATCCCACTAAAATACTCCTACTCTGAAGCTACTGCCTTTCCATATCAGAACTGTATTCTCACCATGCTGTCTGTACTACAGCACACTTCACCGGTTCTGTTTTTTTTCATTAATCAGGCTGATTTTAAATGAGGGGAATGTTTATTTCAAAAAAACAGCTTTTGTTATTACCTTCAGAAGTGTGGTCCTTGTTGGGTCCAGCTTTGAGTTGCATTCAACCTGTATTAAAAAAACAGCAGTGTAAGGCATTATGCACAAGATTTTAATTATGAACTGCTGGATGAAAACAGATTAAATATCTTGTTTTCTGGCTTAATCCAGACTAAAACAGGTATTTTAGGTTTCTGTATAAAGACTGTGTATACATATATACATCCTTAAACCCAAGTAGGTCAGTTCACATTTCTGACTGTATTCTTTTTCATGTACAAACAAACCCATTAGTTGGGAATTGGAGATTTTTTTTATCTGTTTCTGGGACTCCAGTGGCAACAAGTGTTGTTTATCTTGCGATGTTGGGTCATCTGGTAGCATCCCAAGTGGTGAGCAGCCATATGGCCACAGGCCAGCAGACTGGGCATGCTCGTTAAGACACAAAATTTGAAGTCACCCAGTCATCTGGGGCTAGTTATAATGGGCAAAAAGCAGCTCTTCGCTTCCATAGTGACCCAGGGCACAGCTCCAACACCACAGAACAAGTTAAAATACCAACAGCAGATCCCTCTCTAAAGGAAAATATTTGCGGTTCACTGGAACTGCTGTGGTGATTGTTCCTAACGCAGTAGCTATTAAATAACGGTGCAGAGACAGAGGGGACAAACAGCAAGGAATTAATGGCAGCTCTCCCGTGGTCTGAAAGAGGAGAGCCAGCTGAGCTGGATCAATAGCCAGCGCCATTGCTGCCACAGGCATGAGCTCTGCCCAACCTCGTGCATCGTCTCAGCTCGCCTGCCCATTAGCATGGTGGCAAAGACATCTGGATATACATACCACAGCGTCCACCGCTGGGGAACTGTCACCGACCACCAGCAGGACGGGGCATCTGCAAGGAAGAGCACAAAAGCGATATTACCTCTGTGATCTGGTCCTGACTTGCCCTAAGCTTCTTTTTGTGTCTCTCTGGAAGGATGAGACAGCTAAGCGTTTCAAAGTGATTTGTTTTGTATTCCAGACAACTTAAATATACATAAAACCCACTGTATTAGCTGCGGGTCTACTGACATGCTCTGATATCTTGCCTGAGAACCTCTCCTTTTCCCCACCTTGTAGCAATCAGCCCTTCCCAATGCTCTTATTCTTCCTTTCGTAAGAAATTGAATGTGGCCATCAGCATCAAAGTCTTACCCCCACCCCCAGGCCCCTGAGCTCTAACTTTTAGACTGGTCCATCCAATTTCAACCAGACTGGCAGAGGAGCAGAATCTCCTGTGTGTAAACATCAGCAGCTGTGCACAGAAGGACTTGACAACTGCTACATTACCAAACTGCAGCATAAGTGAAAAGCTACTAGCCGAAGACCTGGCAGATAGTCATTCTCATACTTGCTCCATCTTCCTGAATGTTTTTTGTTTGATTTGTTTTTAATGGTTTTGGGTTGGGTTTTTTCAGTTGCACGGGCATGGCTCAAGTGCATTCAGAGGTATAGTCTCCATTAACTACAACATATTTCTGGATGAAGCTGAGTACATCTACTTTTCAAGTACTTGATCTGTAAACCCAAGTTTGCAGATACACAGTGACAGGAACTACTTAACTTTCCACTTCAGCTAATATGATTGTGAAGTTTGAAGAGAGGAAGTCTTCCTAATGGCAGTTCCTGACTTGCAGTAACCTCTTATCTCCTACACGAAGTTACAAGATTTTTTTTCCTAGAACATGATACACATTCAGCTACAGCTCTGCAGTGCATGTGCAATGCATCCACGGATCACACCTCCTAGCTCACATCATGTACAGGTGAAACGGCAGGAAATAGAATACTTACTGAAGGGTGACAACATTTATTCCAGGAACAGGGCGCTCAATCTCTAGGTCTCGTCGACTAAAAAAAAAATGGAGAGGAAAAAGACTCTTGATACACTGAAATTTTACAGATATTTCCATATCCTTCTAGTTTAGAGAAAGCAGAGACACTCACATATATTAACTTAATCTCATACATGTTGTAGCCTCCACAACTGATGTAGAACCACTCTTACACTGAAGTATCATAGAGTCATAGAATCATTAAGGTT